AAAGTTCAGGCCTGGCCAAGAATTGCAACAGTTGAAATGGTTGCATAAACTTCTCTTTCATACCAGTGTTTCTAAATGGGTATATATTCAGTTTATATGTATATCTCTCTTTAGATTATATCACTGTGCTATAAATAAGCAGGTATTTATGGGTACATCTCTGTTTAGCCTTTTCTGACCTCATGGTCTTCTCTGTTAGTAGTTTTTGATGATGTAAGTATGTGGGAGGAAAACAAGCATATATAGTTAATAGATAACAAATATATGGTAAATATAAATATTTCATCTAGAATTTTCCTCAAAGTCCACATTATATAAACTAACACTGTCACTGACACAGATGCTTCTGGCATGGCATTTATTATTTTCTGAACTGCATTTGTGACCCACTTGAATTCATTTATTGTTTCTGTGACTGTAGTATAGTTTGGAAATACTTGATAAGGCAATTTTGCTTATATTTAGTTATGTTTTTATTTCTAATATTATCCATTGAAAGGAATGAAAATTTTTTAAATTATCCCATAAACCCATTTTTAGAGCCATTGTTATATGACCCAAGCATAAAAGGCATATTCTTTAGGATTTAGCTTTGTCTGTCTTACTGAATATTATGCAAATATAATCTTAGTGTCATTTATTAAAAATGAAATTTGTTTTAAAACAAACAGCTGAATGTATAAAATCAGTCATTATCTTAAAATTCCTTAAAACACATTTATCAGAAACAAATGCCTAAAATATAATAACTTAGAACAACTCAATAAAATTATTCTTTTCAGTATCATTTCTTAGCTTAAAATAGTTAAGCAGCTATATAACCTTAGGATTCTTCTTTCTCATCCATTTTATTTCACCTGTAACTCTGTGCTTAATGTTGAAGATAATAGATCATGAATGGGTTTTGTCAGTAAACTGGTCATAATGTGAAACTGGATTTGAGGAGGAAAAGAACAGAGAGCCTTCATTTTGAAAATTTTTTAGTGATAAGAAATTATGTCTGAACTGTTTCAATGCCCCTGAAACAAAGGAACAAATTTAGAAGACAATTCTGAGAGTGTATTCTGACATGGAGGAAAATGTATAAAGCTTGAATACACTTTTAAGGCTTGAATAACTGAGTATTAGAAATCTTTTAGGAAAAAAAGTACTCTTACTACATAACTGTTACATACTATTGTATAACTGTTGGGAATCCCAGCCCTTCCATTTTTATAATTGATAATGGACATAAAGGTGAAGTAGCAGGTTTGTAAAAAAATAATTCACTTGATTATCATTATCATTATAGTCAGTGTAGTTGACATTTTCAGATGGATGTTCTTTTATTTAGTTCAGATGATTGTTCTTCCATTGTTTTCTTCTTCGTGCCTGAATTTTAGTAAAAGTGAGATAGCTGTGTACCTCTTTCTCTTTTCTTTCCATCCCATAAATTTAGAAATTCTTGAGGAGCTCATGACAGTGATTTCCAGGTTTTACCTATTGTTAATTTAAAGGTAAGAATTACATCAGAGTGGCTTCTGTGAGAACAGAACAACGGCAAGCTAGCTATAAAACAGCTGACAAAAAAGAACTCATTTTCAAGATTGCTTAGATCATACTTCATAGTTAGAGGAGTAGCCTTTCAACCTTTTTCTTAGAGTGTTCTTAGAGTTATGGTTGGCAGCATTTCATCTCACACATTTTGAGCCTCCATGAGGTGGATTGACATAGTTACTGCAGCAGTGGGCTAGAGTATATCAGGTGGTGAGGATGGCACAGGATAGGAAAAAATTCAGAACTTTTGTTCAGACATGACTTGACAACATCTAACAACAACCAGACACATGATGATACTCATTTGTCAGCCACTGCAATGTGGTGGTATAAGAAGCATTTTCTAAGTAAACAACATAAATATATGCTACAGTTACTGCTCTTGTGTTTTATTCCTCCCAAGATATTTTATCTCTGTGTGGAAAAGAGATTAAGGTTGTTATTAGTTAACAGCTTGCTCAGCTTCACAATCAACACTCTTGGCACCAGGAGTCAGGAAATCAAAAGGCAAATTTCATTAGGTAAATCTTCTGTCAGGGACCTTTCCAGAGTACTGAGAAACAACGATGTCAGTCTACAGACTAAGGTGTACCTGATCCAATCCATAGTCTTCACAATAAGAAGAATTGATGCCTTTTGAGTTGTGGTGCTGGAGAAGAGTCTTTAACATACTTTAGACAACCAAGAAAACAGGTCTGTCTTGGAGAGGATGAAACCAAGTTTCTCCTTGGAGGCTATGATTTTGAAGCTTTGTCTCACATACTTTGGGCATTTGGCCAGGAGGAACCAATCCTTGGAGAAGGACAACATGCTTGGAAGGGTGGAGGGACAGAGCAGGAGAGGAAGACCCCGGGTGAGATAAATTGACAGTAACTGGGGCAATGGGGTTGGTGTGTGGGAATTAGTGAGACTGGCGAAGGGCAGGGCAGGCTTCAGAGCTATTGTACACAGGATCGCACTGAGTTGCAAGTGACTCCACAGCACAATAACATACACAATAATAGCCCAATAATTACAATATCTTTATTAAATATTTGCTGTTTTTTATGATCTTAAAATAGTGCTTATATGTGAGACCGCTTGTATCTAATATTAACATAAAAGTTTTATTTTCAAACATGCTGTCAAAAAGATGAATAATATTAGTAAACTACATTTTTAAATGAGCTCATCAGGAAATAAGTGCATGTTACACCTTTTTTTTTCCAATTGAAAACCATAGTTACTTTATTGCATTGTGTAAATAGATGCATTATAGGATAAATGTTTGGAATTTTAAATGCCCTACCAGTTAGTTAGTCAATTAATAAGCCTTCTCTTGTCTCAATTGCCTCATAGGCACAATGAAAGGAATTACCTCTAGAATTGTTTTTAAAATTAAATGAGTTAATATATTAAAAAATCACTTTAAATATTACCTGGAATTTATAAGTGTTGTGTATTGCTTTCATCTTTATCATCATATAGTAAGATTAGCTTATTAAAATCAGTACTTTCATTTCAAAATCTTAAATTCATGATTATAGAATAGCTTATTTTATGATAAAAATTGTTTTTCTAAAAAAAATTTAGTGCCTAATCTTTAAATATAAGCAGATTTATTATACCAGTGGTCTTTTCAAGAAATTAACATAGTTTCTGTTAAATTAGCTTGTAAAAATTAGGTTTAAATGTCCATTTTATCTAAGATTAATACCATTTATGTCATAATTTATTATAGGGGAAAATACCAATGGAGACTTTAACTAGATTGTTTATTTATACATCCAGATGTATATATTTATAACTGATAGCAAGAAGAAACTTGTTTTACTTGCCTTTTATGGTAGTATTATTAATCATTGCTATCTCATTTATAGTTCAGGAAATACTTTTAATGTATTAATAGTAATTCTCTCACAGCAAAGTATGTTGACTGTACCATCCAGGAGCTAACTGTACATGACATGAAGTAGGGATCTAATTTGAACATTTTCTCCTTTATACTTTGTCAACTATCCCATCCACATATACTAAAAAAACACTTTCAGATGATGAAGAGGGGGCAAAGGGTTTAACAAGTGTTTTCCTGGCCTCAGTTTGGAGTGTTTGAAAATACATATATATGTTAACCTGTACACGCATGTGCAATCTTGCCAAAGACTTTGGGGAAGGTTTACATATTGTTCACAGTGTATTCCATGTGCCTGCTCCAGCACACTGCAGACTATAAAATATTAAATGAAAAAAGAAATAGTAGTTCTCTCTCAGTCATGAGATTTGGAGATATTTAAAGTACCTTTCCATGGCGTTTTCATTTTAGGAATTTAAAACATATTAAATATAACACAAATCATAGAAGATGAGGAGAGCTACTTTTTGAAATACTGGTAAGATTTTTGATACATAGACAAATTTTTAGATTAAGGTGTAAGTTTTATTAAGGAGGATTACAATGTGATTGGATTAGGGATTTATTTTGAGATCATTTTATAAAATTTTGATTGAATATAGATATAAAATGTAACAGTAAAACTTACTGAGAGCTTACCATGTTAAAGAAACAGACTTTAACTCTCCTTATTTTGCCAGAATACCTATGAAATGTTTTCATCATTTTATGAGAAGGATATTGAACACAACCTAGTTATGAGAGAGATGGAACAACTTTAAAGGCTAGGCAGAAAATTTTCATGTAACAAAATGAATAATGGAGCAGGCACCATTATTTCAGAGTATGACAAATTTGGTAAGAGATACTTAGGATATTTCCAGAAGAAAAATTCAGATTAATTTATATAGTTTAGAAAAATTATTTTAATAATAAAATAGTACAGTGGTAAATAATGTAGGCTATTGTTGTGACTATAAGATGATGAATCTGAAATACATTTTAAAGAAAATTATCTGGCTATAGGGATTAGATAAGAGAAGGATCCAAAAAGAAGCAAAGATTTCAGGTTTAGGATATTAATTACCTTTATTTTAAAAATTAATAAATGTATTAGTAATTAAGAGAGTAACTTTAAGCCCACTGCTGACAAGTTAATTCTAGCTTTAATCACCATCCACCAGGTTTCTGAAGCTGTAAATATTTATGGACGGAAAGTACCTGTTTTTATTCCACAGAAGACTAGTGAATTCAAATTGCCAACATTTTGGTTAGCAGCCCAATGCTACTAAGGTTCCAATTAGGAGACTCATTCTCAATCTCCTCCTTCTTGTCTCTCTCACACTCACTCTCTTTCTGTAGAGCGGACAAAAGTGGCTTATTTGGTTAGACAATCATTTAGCTAGAGTGGTAGTACAAATTACTTGAAACACAGTAAGAAATTAAAGTCACTGGTATAAGTTTGACATACAAACTATGCAGAGTTAGTGTGTTTTCCTTGGCAGTCACTTGTAGAGTAATTAAAAAAAATTTCTAAAGGCAGTGTAGTAGTGTATCTCATGGTGTCTATAGTCTTGAGACTTCTCCAGCATTTTTCTGTTTTCCCTAATGCTAATTGCTCTATGTATTTTACCATTTTAAACGTAGAGTGATTTGAATACTCAAATTTCAGTATAATTTATCTTTGTTCTTCCTTTAATCTTGATCAGTAATTTTCTAACCTTTATAATAGAGTC